GAACTCGATGCAATTATGTGATTCATGTGATTAATCATGTATTTTATTACTCTTACATATGTTCAAAAAATTGAAAAAACTTCTCAACAATGTTACATTATATGTTTTAAAATAATCATCTTAATAGGTGTCACATGTAATTATTTTTCTTGCATAGTTGTGATTGTTATTTTTATTATATTTTAAGGAGTGGGGTGATCATTTTGAGTGAAAAATATACAAAAATCGAAATTTCTTGTAATTTATTAAATAATTACGGAGTATACAATGCTTAAATCCAGGGCAAAATTCAAAATTGATCGCTTTGTCAAAAATAATTATATTAACTAGCCAAATAGTATATAGAATATGTATACTATATATATATAATTCACATATGTACCAAAAAAATATTTATCTGCTATTATTTTTAGAAGTGATTAAAAATATATACTTCTCTAAAATCTTTAATCAGGGACTTGATTTATCATAACATTTGTATAATTAATATTTTATTTCTTTGAATACGGTGAAGCAACAATGATTATTTCATCTTGTAAATAATTTGTTACTAAATTTAGTTAGTTGTTCTTTCATATCAAAATTCTGACTAAAGATTTACGTGCAACGCACAACTAGTTATTATAAAAGCATCAAGCCCTAAATTTAAAAGTTAAATTACTAAAATGCCCTTATTAACAATCTATTTACCTACTTATATATAAATTTAAAATAAAAAACGCAAGGCTTAACATCAGAAAGCCCTAAACCCACCGTTTCTTGGAAGAGATATATTCCTTCAGCAAAGTTTCATTCAATTAAATTGGTGGCAGTGATTCCAATCTGTATTTTTATACCTTAAGGGACATACCCGACTAATATGACTCATCAACAATTTCAGAAAATTTATTATAAATTCATCTTTGACAGGTATTCTTCTCTTACTCTGTGTCTTTCCTGTCATTAAATTGTGCATGCATCGATTCTCGGAAGTTTAATTCACAAATGGTGTTAAAGTTCTAAAAATGAATGATTAAAGTATTAACAATTTCTTTTTATGTTTTCGAATTCAGTGATCATTATATTTTAAGAAGTGATGAAAGGAAACTATTGATGCATTTGTTCTCTCTATTCTTGATACCCTACTGATATCGCATGGTGTAGAATTATTGCTCATCGTGTGTTTTTTAAATGATAATTGTTTAAGATAAGTCATATATTGAGGATGGTTGTCGCGATTTCAATTTTACTCCACCTTGTTGATTTATTATTTATATGTAGTCTTTAATTTTCTGGCTCGGCAGTCATGCACTCATAGTTGATACTGCATTATATTTGTTCAGGTCTTATTAGTCTCTGCCTGGGACTTGGTTGTTGTGTTTAAGATCTTAAGGAAAGTGAAGAAGAAGTAGTTTATTGAGTTGAGTCTTGTGGTGATTCAAATCTTGTGACACAACAACATTAAGAAAATAAACATAAATGGAAAAAAACCAATAAAAGGAGAACATTAATTTAGACATTTTAATAATATGATTTTGCAACAAATACAATTTAAGTATTTCAAATTCAGACATTTAAATCTCAAAGTAATAGGAGTCCTACATAATATCCTTAACTAAGTTAATTCAAATAAATTGAATTGAAGGTAAAATTAAAAAAAAAAATCTATGTATTGAATTTGATGAGATTTTAGAATGACCAGTTTTCCATGCATGGTTTGCTTTCTGTTCTGTACCATGTATTCCTATCTGAGTATTACCATCCTTATTTTTTAATGAAAAAAATAAAAGTAAATTTAAAAGAAAACGAAAAACTACTATAGATATTCACTTTTTTTCGAAGTACTTCTAGCATTGCCTTTCTACGTTCATATTACCGTCGTACTTTAGTCCTTGCATATGAAAACTGAATTCCTCACGAACGAGGGTAGATACCTGCACTACTACACAATGGTTTTACAATGTAACTCAATCCTAAATCCTTTACACTTTATTATATGATCAAATATTAAAATGCATACTACTATATTTCTTTATTAACCTGTTTTATAAATGCAAAGGATTATAATATATTAATATATTATAATATCGGATATTTTTTATCCTTTTATTTAGAATATAATGGTCGCAAAATTTTGCACAAATTTTCAAAAGTGAAAGTTGCTCGAGGAGGTAGAAAGGAACATTGTTTGAATTGTAAGTGGTAACTTCTGCAGTTTTTATATACATTATTAAACTATGAGACTTTTCATGCTTTGTATTCACTGAATAGTATTTACATTATTAAAGAAGATGTGCTAAGTTCAAATTTTGCGTTTCTCAATGACATATATAGAGTGCTTATTTATTTCATTTCCTTCAACTCTATTCATGTTACTGACCATGATTAATAGTATGATGGCTAGAAGATGGAGATAGAGTTGGTAGGAGAGTATGCCTAATTTTATTCATAAAAGTCTTAAAGTTACGTGAAAATACTAAGCTTCTGGTATTAGTTAAATTTGTAATTTATAACGCAATCAAATATTTTTCAAGTATATATGAACTATTTTTTACTATACATATTCTGTTAAAAAAAAATATAGAATACATGTACAACGCACGTGCAGAGAGTCTAGTTATATTAAAAGTACGAAGGCCCTTAACAAAATAATGTTCACCTTTATTAGCCTTTAAAAATAAATTTTACATTCGAAAAAATAATTATTTAATTATTTTCTTAATATTTTGATATTTTAAAATTAACTAAATTTTGTATTGTAAAATCTTTCATTATTTGAAATATATAGAAAATCCTATTGTCATTCGATTTTGAAGTTAAAATCCTTATTTGAATACTAAGTAAGAAAGTATTTAAGTACTAATATAAATCAGACGATTTCCATCCTTATTTGAATACTAGAGGAACGATTTCCAATTAGAAAATCCATATTAAATACTAAGTAAGTAAGGATTTAAAATTGTTCATATTTGAATACTACTTAAGGAATGATTTAAATCAATTTTCAATGACAAAGTCCTCATTTAAATATATAGAAGATCCTATTTTCAATCAATTAAAATTCTACTAAAAGATCCAAAAATAAAATATCAAATTAACTTTTTCCTCCTAATATTTAGAAGTTCTAAATTAAAAAAATTTATGCATTACATCCTTTTTTATTTGAAATATATATATACAAAACTAATATTAATAATATTGAATATGGCCAAAGGGCAGAGATTTGGATGTGGAGATATCATTTGCTTTTTTAAAGTTTGATTGAAAGATGACAATCTCAAATATAAATTAAAACTATGAGTTATGTTTAATTAAATTTTGGCAGAACCTTAAAATTTACGTGGTCTTTAATACCCTCCTGAACTTGATAATTTCATAGCCTCGACCATCTTAGACGCTGACAATCCATGGGAGTGTGACACACGCGGCGCCACATAAATTTGTTTGTCCATGTGAATTTTTTTTTAATAATAATATATATTTTTTATCTTTTTAAGTTCACCAACTATTTAAATTATTTTTTCCTTGCCAAAATCCGTAAAAACAAAATTGAAACAATATTATTTTGACTATAATTTTTTATTTAGCTAAAGATAATTATATCTAATCAAGTTACGTTTACATATTCGGTCAGGAAAAGAAGGAATACAAAGTTAGAACATATTATTATTGCGTCTAAAGAAGATTAAAAAAATACGTTGTTGGAACTCCGTATATTATTTGTTTTTTGCTAAATAAATATTTTAGCTAAAAATAGTAAAATTTTGACCAAATATTTGCGGATTTGACTCGAAAAAAAAATGCATAGTTTAAATAAATGGCCATTGCATGAAAATAAAAATACATAATATTCTTTTTCTTTTTATAGCAAATACACCATTCGAACTTCATTACTTGGCTAAATCTTATTTTTATTTGGCCTAAATAAATGAAGTGTCAACTAACTTTTATAGATTTGAACTGTAAAAAAAAAGATAAGAAATACATAGTTGATATATTTATTGTATCTAAAAAAATACAATTGGGATAAAATATGCAATGTATATCAAGAAGAAACTAAGAGAAATAAAATTGAAACAAATAAATCATTATATTTGATTATGTGATAATTAATATTTAAAAAATACCTCATTTGAAAGCTGATTTTTCGATTTTTCTTCCTTCCCACGCACCTAAAAGAGAATGTATTCACGCTATTTGCCACATCAGTACCTAAGGGGGCAAGACTATCAAATTTTTAAGTTCCGGGTGGTATTAAAAACCACGTGAAATTTAAGGGGGAACTAAATAAAAGTTTCCAAGTTTAGGGAGTCCTAGAATATTTTTGCCTTTAAATTTTTGATATATCAACAATAGACTATGTCCGTTGGTATTCAAATTGATTGTGGCATTCTTGTTATGCGAAGGAAGACGGATCAAAATTGGCTTAAATATATTTGTTGATTGAATTCATAATTTTCATCAATATTTTATTTTAGAATTTTATTGTATCAATTTTTTGCACTATATGTCTAAGGAGTTATTTATATCAGGATTTCTTGATTTGTTGATGTAGCTACGTATGTTCAACATTAATTATTTTCACGAACTTATATTTTTATATTTTTTATTTTATAATTTAAATTTATTATTTAATAATAATATTATTCAATTTTATTAGTTTTTTATACTTATTGATATAAGTACACGTGCAAAACGCGTAACATAAAATTAGTACAGAATAAATGCATGTAAAGACAAAAATATTTTACATATTATAAGTAGTAATTGAAATTACACTACTGTTAGTATTGCATATTATTATCCACCAATATATTTTTTAACTATAATCTCAGCCTAACTACTGACCATAAACCAACGACCCCTAATTAGCATCTTTTTTTAACAGTGCCAAAGTATGATGACTCGCTCTATTCGCCAGTAGCAACGTCGTATGATGACTGTATCTCTCGCACGTGCCACCAATATAATAGCCACGCTTGTTGCGCCGCTATAATACTGTAAACTGTGATTTGTGAGTGAGTGCTCTCATAGATCTGATGGATAGTAACAGCCTATTCTCCTTTTACTGACTTCCCCTTTTCCTTTACCTGAGAAAAAGTAAAGAAAACACTAATACAAACAAAATAGAAAAAGAGAGGAAAAAAACACGAGTCTTTCCCACCTTATAATCGGCTCTGTCCTGCCCACTTCTGTAACTAGCAAAAAGATTATCAATGGGGGAGGTTAATTTGCTTTCTGCTCATTCTCTTTTCTGATTTTGGTTTGTGCTAATTAAGTTTTTTTTCGTTTTTTAGGAAGAGAAGAAGCCCGAGGAGAAAAAACCAGAGGAAGAGAAGAAAGAAGAGGCACCCAAAGATGAAAAACCAAGCGGCGACGAGAAGAAGGAGGAGAAAAAGGCAGAGGAAGCAACACCAGAACCCCCACCCCCAGAAATTGTATTGAGAGTTTTCATGCATTGTGAAGGTTGTGCTCGTAAAGTCCGCAAATCCCTCAAAGGCTTCCAAGGTCTGAAAATCCCCTCCTACTTTTTTTCTTCTCTTTGTTGTAGTAATCTGTATCAGGATTCATTTTCAGCAATCGGATTCTTTTTTTGTTATGGTAAAGTTTCTTCTTTATTAATCAAATGCGTCGAGTTCTGGCCTCGAGGAATGTACAAGTTAATTAGACTATTGAGTTTCAGAAAAGGAAAAAACATATATAGAAATAAATTGAATGTTTTTGAATGGTTTTTGCAGGAGTTGAGGATGTAATCACTGATTGCAAGACGCATAAGGTGGTTGTCAAAGGGGAAAAGGCAGATCCACTAAAGGTTTTAGAGAGAGTACAGAAAAAGAGCCATAGACAAGTTGAGCTTCTCTCTCCAATCCCAAAGCCTCCGCCCGCAGAAGAACCCAAGAAGCCAGAGGAGAAGGAACTCGCTAAACCCCAAGAGAAAAAAGAGGAGGTTCGTTCTTTTTTTTTTTTTTTTTTTTTTTTTTTTTGTTCTTCTTTTGATGGTTTCTCACTTTACTCTTTTTTTCCCTTCTGGGGTTCATTTGTTTTTAAGGTAAAAGTCATCCATATGTTTTTGATGCAGTCACAGGTGATTACTGTAGTTCTGAAAGTTCACATGCATTGTGAGGCTTGTGCTCAAGAAATCAAAAGGCGTATACAAAAAATGAAAGGCAAGATTAATTATTTTGCTTTTATTTAATTTTCTCTTTCGCGTAAATGAATTACTATCGTGTTCTGTTTTATTCATTTTGCTGATAATTACTGGTTTTCTGGTTATTATGCTTTTTTACACATTTCAGCTGTATTTATTAAAGAAAAAATGGTTCTATTTTCCTCCTTTTCGGATCTCGAAAATAGCATTGGATACTTGAGGATTCTATATTTTCTTTATTCCTTTCACAATCTGTACATTCTTTAGTTAGAATAGAATATTCAATTCTTAAGATTCTCTTGAAATTCTTCAATTTGAGATCGGTTCAAACACATTTCATCCACTACTAGTTATATATTCATTTGCTAATAAACTACTATTTGAATCTTTGGAATCAGTTACTAGCATTGCCTGTTAGGTATCATCAAAAGTTGCAAGTGACTTTGGAAATTGACACCATCAAGTTAGTAATTATTTTCTTGGACATTAATTTAGGCGTGGAGAATGCAGAACCAGACTTAAAGAACTCACAAGTGACAGTAAAAGGTGTGTTTGAGGCATCAAAACTGGTGGATTATGTAAGCAAGAGAAGTGGAAAATGGGCAGTAATCGTGAAAGTAGAACCAGAAAAGAAAGAAGAGGAGAAGCCCAATGACGAAGCAAAAGAAGAGAAGAAAAGCGAAAAAGAAGCCAAGAAAGTTGAAGAAGAAGAAAGAAAAGAAAAAAAGGAAGGTGGAGGAGAAGCAGCAGCTAAAGAAGAAACAGCAGCAGCAGCTAAAGAAGAAACTGTTGAAGTAGACCCAAAAGTAGAAGTGAAGAAGAATGAATTTTACTACTACCACCACCCTCAGAATTTTCAAGTGCATCCACAGAGATTTGCACATGAAATGCATGCATACCCTCCACCTCCACAGATTTTCAGTGATGAAAATCCTAATGCATGTTCCGTGATGTAAATTTCAAGGGGTAGAATGGTAACATGGGAAGTGATTTCTGTAACTTGTGGTGCTCCTCACGTGGCCTATCTTGGGACTCGCTTAAGTACAATTCTGCTATAGACAAATACTGTACAACTTTGTGAGGCCTTTGTACCATTTTGTTTTCTTTATTATAATCCTGCTGTTATATACTCCCTATGTATGATACAATAAGATGATATATGACAATTTAATATACTAATTGCCCCTTCCGAGTTACTGCACGCTACTGATCGCCGCTAGAGTAATGTAGAGGGGCTTGAGGCTGCGGAACGCTGTGCACATGTATTTCAAGTTTCTGTCAAGTATCGAATCCGAGTAATTTATTGACTGCCCCCAGGATCGACTCCAAAATTTACACAAGAAGTACAGAGTATAGTATGAGTACAACTGACCCCATGTGCTCTGTAAGTGCTGAGCCTAACCTCGACGAAGTAGTGACGAGGCTAAGGCGGGTCACTTACAATAACATGTACACAATATAATAATAACAATAGGAAAGGAAAACAGAAAAGGTAAAGCAGTTAACTTATAAAAAAGAACTCAATTCTTATAAACAGAGAACCCGGAATAACCGATCTCATAATTTCATGTAACAACATTGGAAATCAACACAATAACAACAATGGATACAATACACACAATCCGTTGCGTCGTGCAACCCGATCCCACCATACACACACAATCCTCCCTTATTTCACCATATCAATATCAAAATCACATATAAAATTTATTGCGGCGCGCAATCCGATCCCACCGTATAATCATAATCATTATCAACATTCTCCCTTTTTTCACCATATCAATATCAAATCACATGTAAAATCCGTTGCGGCGCGCAACCCGATCTCACCATATCAATATCAAAATCCTCCCTTATTTCACCATATCACATACGTTGTGGCGTGCAACTCGATGCATAAACAAATTCAATAAATGTAATCAATCCAATAACTCAATTCACAAGAATCTCTACGATTAAAGGAATATGAAAGCAAAGCAATAAAGGAACCCCGTACCAAATCAAGGAATGCTACAATTAATACAAGGCAACAATACAAGCCAAATATACGACAGTTAAAGTGTACAAATAAGACAACTAAGGCAGGTAGCAATTAATCAAGGAGTCATGGAATAAACGAACATTTTAATATAAGAATAATTAATGACAAATAACAAGTTACGACATAGAAAGCAATTAAAGCATGTAGCGGTTAAGACATGGAACAATATAATTCATGAAATACGAGAAAACATGAAAATAATTATTTTGAAGGCGTATATACACTCGTCACCTCGCATATACGCCGTTACACACGTAATTCACATAACATATAGTTCATAGGTTCCTAATTCCCTCAAATCAAGGTTGGACCCAACACTTACCCCGCTCCGCAATCAAATCAAAGCTCAACCAGGGCATTTACTCTAAAATTCGCCTCCAAACCAATCGAATCTAACCAAAATCGACTTAATATTATCAAACAATGCTAGAAAAATCAATTACAATAGATAATGCAAAGATATTTACACTTTTTTTTAAAAAGTCAACAAAAGTCAACCCCGGGCTCGCTTGGTCAAAACTCGAGATTCGGACCAAAACCCAATTACCCATTCACCCCGAGCCCGATTATGTGATTAGTTTTGAAATCCAACCTTAATTTGAGGTCTAAATCTCAATTTTATAAAATAAAGCCAAATTCTACCTAAATCCCTAATTTTCTACTATGAAAGAGCATAAAAAAAGGTTAGAAGTCAACGGGTGTTGATGGAAATGAAAGAAAACGAGTTAAAATATACTAACCTATGATGTGGGGATGAAATTTCTCTTCAAAATCGCCTCTAGGCCGAGCTCTAATATGAAGATAGTGAAAAATAAAGAAAATCCCGATTTTTAGAAGTTTAAAAGACTGGGCGTCAGGTGTTCATCGCGTTCGCGAAACACCCGACACGATCGCGAAGCAGCAGCGGCCAAAGGCCTTCGCATTCGCGAGCTACTCTTCGCGTTTGCGAAGGCTTACACCCACCTGCCCTCGCGTTTGTGGTCCTTATGCCGCGTTCACGAAGAGCAACGGCTAGCTCCCCTCCCACACCCCATAAACCTACGCAATCGCGAGAGGCTGGTCGCGTTCGCGAAGGGTAGACCCCCCAGTGCTTCGCGTTCATGNCGTCCCTTCCCAGGTCCCCTTAACCCTACGGGTTCGCGAGAGGCTGGTCGCGTTCGCGAAGGGTAGACCCCCCAGTGCTTCGCGTTCATGACCAAGCCATTGCGTTTGCCATGAAGAAGTCCTTCCCAGTCCTCGGTTACCCTTCCCGATCATGGGAGTATCTTCGTGATAGCAAAGAAGGATACCCAGACATCAGCAGTCTCAGAAACTAGCAATAGCCAAAGTGTAAAATCACTCTGTAGCTTATCCGAAACTCACCCGAGCTCCTCGGACTCCAAACCAAACATGCACACAACTAACATCATACGAACTCACTTGCACTAGCAAAACGCCAAAATAAGACCTAGAACTCCGAATCAGACACCAAAATGAATGGAATTTTCAAAGAAACTTAAGAACTTTCAATTTAACAACCGGACGTTCGAATTACGTCAAATCAACTCTGTTTTGTACCAAATTTTGCAGACAAGTCATAAATAGTAAAATAAATCTATATCAAGTTTTGGAACCGAAATCCGAACTCGGTAGCAACAAAGTCAACCTACGGTCAAGCTTAGGAATTCTTTAAACCTTCAAATTACTAGTTTTCAACAAATCACGTTAAATTAAGTTAGGGACTTCCGAATTCGATTCCGGGCATACGCCCAAGTCCCAAATCACGATATGGAGCCACCAGGATCGTCAAAATACTGATCCGGGTCTGTTTACACAAAACGTTGACCATAGTCAACTCAAATGAGTTTTAAGGCAAAATTTTACATTTTCTTCGAGTTTTCACATAAAACTTTTCTGGAAAAAGACACAGAATGTGCATGCGAATCGAGAAAGGCTAAATGGAGCTATTCGAGATTTTGGAACACAGAAATGAAGGCTAAAACTGAAAATGACCTATCGGGTCATCACATTCCCCACCTTTAAAACAAACGTTCGTCCTCGAATGGACATAAAAAGGTACCTGGACTGGTGAAAAAGTGTGGATATCTACTCCGCATGTCAGACTCGGATTCCCACGTGGCTGCCTCGATCGGCTTACCTCTCCACTGCACTTGAACTGAAGGATAACTCTTAGATCTCAACTTCCAGACCTGCCGGGCTAGAATGGCCACTGGCTCCTTCTCATAGGTAAAATCCTTATCCACTTGGACTGAGCTGAAATCTAACACATGGGACAGATCACCGTGATACTTCCGAAGGATGGACACATGGAACACAAGATGGATTGCTGATAAACTAGGTGGCAATGCCAGTCTATAGGCCACCTCACCCATTCTCTCAAGAATCTCAACAAAGGGTCTGATATACCTAGGGCTCAACTTGCCCTTCTTTCTGAACCTTATCACACCCTTCATGGGTGAAACCCGGAGCAATATCCTCTCTCCAACCATAAATGCAACATTACGAACTCTACAATCGGTATAACTCTTCTTCCTTGACTGAGCTGTGCAAAGTCGATCCCGAATCATCTTGAACCTTTCCAAGGAATCCTGAACAAAATCGGTGCCTAACAACCGAGCCTATCTCGGCTCGAACTAACCAACTGGTGAACGGCAACACCTCCCGTATAATGCCTCATAGGGAGCCATCTGAATACTTGATTGGTAGTTGTTGTTGTAGGCAAACGTCGCAAGCAGAAAGAACTGATCCCAAGAACTCCCGAAATCCATAACCTAAGCGCAAATCATATCTTCAAATATCTGAAAGGTGCGCTCGGACAGTCTGTCCGTCTGGGGCTGAAATGTTGTACTTAACTCAACCTGTGTGTCTAACTCACACTATACGACCCTCCAGAAGTGCGAGGTGAACTGCGTACCTCGATCAGAAATGATGGACACGGACACACCATGAAGACGAATAATCACGCAGATATAGATCTTAGCTAACCACTCTGAAGAATAGGTAACTTCCACTCGAATGAAATGTGCTGACTTGGTCAACTTGTCCATAATGACCCATATCGCGTCAAACTTCTTCTGAGTCTATTGGAGCCCAATAACAAAATCCATAATAATATGCTCCCACTTCCACTCAGGAATCTCTAGCCTCTGAAGCAAACCACCAGGCATCTGATGCTCGTACTTTACTTGCTGACAATTCAGACACCGAGCCACATATGTAACTATATCCTTCTTCATTCTTCTCCACCAATAATGCTGCCGTAAGTCCTGATACATCTTGGCGGCACCCAGATGAATGGAATACCGGGAACTATGGGCCTCCTCAAGAATCAACTCACGAAGCCCATCCACATTGTGCACGCAAATCCGACCCTGTATCCGCAAAACCCTATCATCTCCCACAGTAACCTGCTTGGAACCACCGTGCCGCACCATATCCTTAAGGACAAGAAAATGGGGGTTGTCATACTGACGCTCTCTGATGCGCTTATACAAGAAAGACTGAGAGACCGTGCAAGCTAGAACTTGACTGGGATCCAAAATATCTAACCTCACGAATTGGTTAGCCAAAGCCTGAACATCTGATGCTAAAGACCTCTCCCCAACTGGAATATACGCAAGGCTACCCATACTTACATCCATCCTACTCAAGGCATCGGCCACCATATTGGCCTTCTCGGGATGATACAAAATGGTGATATCATAGTCTTTCAATAGCTCCAACCACCTCCTCTACCTCTAGTTGAGATCCTTTTTCTTAAACAAATACTGTAAACTTCGATGATCCGTGAACACCTCATACGACACGCCGTATAGATAGTGCCTCCAAATCTTTAGCGCGTGAACAATGACTGCCAATTCTAAGTCATGAACAGGGTAATTCTTCTCATGATCCTTTAACTGCCGTGACGCGTATGCAATTACCCTGTCATCCTACATCAATACTGCACCGAGCCCAATACGAGATGAATCACAATACACCGTGTATGATCCTGAACCTATGGGCAACACCAACACTGGCATCGCGGTTAAAGCAGTCTTGAGCTTCTGAAAGCTCAACTCACACTTATCCGACCACCTGAATGGAGCACCCTTCTGGGTCAATCTAGTTAATGTGGCTGCTATGGATGAAAACCCCTCCACTAATCGGCGATAA